ATGTATAATAATAGTGAGTAGGATATAATCCATCGTGGTAATTTTTCTCAAAGAATTTATTATATTTTAAAATAAAAGAAACGTTTCAAAGACAAAAATTATGTCCTCCTGTTGTTGTATTCATTCTTTGTTTTTACTTGACTAATGGAGAGAAAGAAAGTGGCAGTTCATTCATTTTTTGACTAAGAAAACTTAGAAAAAGAATCCCATGCATGCATGATCTTTTTTTTCTTTTTGATAATATACATATATATATATTGAAATATTTCATTATTTAATTCATATAGTAAGCTTGAATAAGCTATGGCGTCACTATCAATTAAAGTTTATTTTTCAAAGTCTATATGCTTCAGAGATGGTACAATGTGAATACAAGGTGTAATAATTTAATTTTTTTTTAAAAAAAAATACATATTTCAATATGTGTGTGTGTGTGTGTGTAATCCTTCAAACGTAAGCGAAATTGTGCATGCTAATATTTGTCTGTCTGTGTGATCATTAATCCAACCAGCACGTCGGAGCAAATGTATTTTCAATGCATCTAGAAAGTGATTAGCGCGAAATCTAAGTAATAAATTTAATTTGTTACTGAAAATATTTCATGCACAATTAAGAAAAAATACAGATATTTAAGAGAGACCCAAAATTATTTTGTGAAAATTAAAATAACATATAATAATATATCACTAGTATTTTATATTAGTTTAATGTTGTGATTTATGGAACAATTTTTAAATTAATTAGGAAAAAAAAAGGTAATTTAATTAATTTCTTAACAAATTAATTACTGAAGTTAGCCGATTAAATTAAAAAGAAAATTTGACTGAGGGATCTCCATGAATGAATTAAAAAATAAAACCGCGTAGAATTGTCGGCTAGCGGACGTTATTCTGGTTCTACTTCTACTAGCCTTCTTCATTTTAAATATATATATATAAAGGGCCACATTCAGAAAGATTTGCACATATCATGAGTCAACTATAAAAGCATATTCATTATTTAACCAATACATATTTATATATAAGATATACATTTATCTCTTGAAAAATAATACTAGAAATTATGATGGGTTATGAGCACAAGTTCTCTGGCTTCTTTGTTGTAATGCTCTTAATGATTGTCGTTGGAGTATGTCGACACTCGTTGGATATTGCTGAAGCAAGACCGATACAGTTCTCTCATCAAAAAGGTGACTCCCTCTTTTAATTTATGTTCTTTTATGTTAGTGATGATGATGATGATAATATATGTATAAATGTAGGGTATTCGATGTTTGTCACCTTGGGAGTTGTGTGCGAGTGTTGTGATGGCGACAAAGGTGAATGTAACGACAAGACGGATCGTGAATCTTGCAAGAAGAGGCTTCAATGCTATCCATGGAAATTTCATCACTAAGTTTACTTTTTCTTGTTTTACATTATCTACATATATATATATATATATATATGCATCTCATCCAAATAAAAGATGATGAACATGTTCTTGTGAGGCTTTGGATGTTTCTCAATAAAATTATATCCTAATTTATCAATAGATGCTTCTGTAATTTGAATCAGTAAGGACATGTGTTCACGTATTGATAAGGAAACAAACTCTTCAAATTAAAAAAAAAAAAAAATTGTGTCATCTTCAAATCGGATAGCAAATATCTTAACTAAATATTTGCTAATGGCAATATTTCTTTTCCTGTCTAGCAAGATAAGACTTTATTTACTCTCAGTCTCCATCTCAGAAGGAAGCTGATAAGGAAACAGCTATTTAAAGAAAAAAAAAAAAAATTGTTAGAAATCAAAAGGTTCATTGTAAAGAAAAATTCTTCGATAAGGAAAAAATTTACCCAGAAAATTAGAAGGAAATTTCTAAAAGTCAAATTATTAACTCATATTTAAAATCAAGAAATTAATGACCTTATTATTTCTTATTTAGTCTTCTTATATATATGTTTATATATCTCATCAAAGCTGGTTTTTCCCTTAGTTTTCGTATATTAACATTAAATCTTTTCTCTATCTCATCAAAGCTGGTTATCCACACAATAATATATATATATATATATCTCATTAAAAAGTTCTCATAGCTTCAATTTAAAAAATTAAACATGTACTCGGACCAATAAATTAACTTTTGGAAAAAAGAAAGTTCAAAGTAATATTCACATGCTAGTGTATAATTCTACACCAAGGAAACTTTCTAGAAGGCATAGTGATAGAGAATCAATGTTTGACATTTCTAGACAAAGACTAAATTCAAGCAATTTTTTTTCTTGCTTTAAAGAGATTGTAATTCAAGCCCCTTTTTTATTGCTCAATTTCCACCAAAATTAATTCAATCTTGGTAAATGTCAATTTTCCAATTTTCTCAAACATTTCCTTCTCATATATATATGTATATATATATATATATATCTTGAATTTTCCATGTATATACACATCAATTATGAAAATAATATATCTAATTATACATTAAATTCGGAAGCTAACTATATATAATATGTACATGTCATCTTTATGTTATGAACTTATCAAGAAACAATAAAGTGGAAAAGATTTCAATCGTATTAACAATTATAAAGGCCATACCTTCCGTACTTTACACTACATCATAACTATATAAATTATATTTATAATTATAAAAATTGTTAATATATATATATATATATATGTATGCGTGCGTTGTTCATGCACGTATCCTAGCTATCTAAAACGAACCTAATGGAATGATATCAAAGAAAATTCTCAAAACTATTCTATATCTTAATAATAATAATAATAATAAATATAATTAGTAATTGGATATATATGCCATATACCATGCAGCCACCTTTCTTTATTACAATAAATCAATGATTAGTTTACCAAAGCATATCCAAAATTAACTTTAATTAATTTCGGATTACATGTGACACGACCATTATCTAATTAATTAAACATAAAATTAACCAATAATTTCAAAACAAACATAATCTAATACCGAAATTGAAATTGATTATATGATTTTTAGTTATATAATTTTAAAAGAAATGATCTCTATCCTTATCCTAAGGCAAATTATGTTACAATTCTTAGACTATAATATGATAAGATCATTTTCTTTTTTTGGATTATGACTTTATCGTGCGTACTGCCAAATTAATTATGACCTGATCATGATAATCTTTATAATTAGATTTTGTTAAATTAATTAATTATCTTGGCTTTTAATTTTAGAAACCTTATCTCTATAGCTAGCAACAACGATCATCGACTTCCCATTAATTATATAATGATTTTTGTCAACGTTGAAAATGACACAATATATTTATAAATATTTAATTTTCCCAGTATCAACCACTAGCTAATTATGTCTTTTATTAATTTCGTTTCAAAAATATGCTAATCGGTCATTCCCAATTTATATCGGTCATTCCCAAGTTCTCACTATCTCATAGCATGCACGTCATAACCTAGCTCTAAATATATTAAATACATACATACATACATACATACATAAAAATATACATACTTTATGTATATATATATATATATATATATAACCTAAAGGGTCCAAAATAAAACAATATATCATATCCAATTGACAAGTTGATCTTGACCAATTAATCTCGAATAATAAAGAAAGGAGAAGAAGAATATAGATACTTTCTGCGTATTAATTTCTTGAAAAATATAGAAGATAAATATTCTGTTTTTGATTCTTCAAAGATTTGGAAGGAATTATATATATATATATATTATATACATGCATGTAAATCTATAATCTTGATGGTATAATGGTATCTTCTTCTTTGATTTTGTTTGAGGAGAGGAAAAAAAAAAAATGTGGAAGACACTTGAGAATTACGACTAAGAGTCAGCTGTTTGGTGCAAGCAGGCATATCCCCATAGCGCCAACTTGTTCCCAATGACCTTATCCATTTTATACAACCTTTACCCTATTCATCCCAGCAGCTAAGAAGCTTCCTCCAAACTCTCTCTCTCTTTTCTATATGTATAATATATACATATGTATGTATCTGTCTTTTTCTATCACGTGATCAACCCATCAATTTACCTATTCAAGCAACTAATACTTTACAGTATCCTGTTCCGCACATTGTAGGTTGTGCCGACATTGGGAAAATTTTAATTTGATCACCACTTCTGTTTTGATGTTCTGTAGCAATAGCATCTAAATTTTTTTAATTCATTCTCTCATAATTTATAATTATATAAAAATAAAGAAAATTAATTAATTAATTAGTTTGACTGATACGTAAATTATGAAATTTTAATTTTTGATTAATTATGTTAATATCCATTATTTAATTAAGAATTGCTAGATAGTTAAGTGGACCATCTTTTTAAAAGGCAAACAAATTTAGTGATAAGGATCAGGATCGAATGGTAAGAAAAGTTCAGGAAATATATCAACATCAACTCAAACCCTCTTTCTCTTATCAACAGTACGTCATAATTTGATGTCATTCTATTTTTATAAAATTTTTAATTTAATTCTTTCTATTAACATTTATTATTTATAATAGTTAATTTAAATATCATGTGTCAAATAAAATTTAATATGATATTTAAAAATTAAAAAAAATATCTTATTCAAATTGGTTCATAAATTAAAAAAAAATTATTATAAATAAATAAACTCATTCTAAATAGATTTAGTGTGTAACTCATTAATGAGGAAATTTTTTAAAAAGTCTAAAAATTAATTTGACCTAATTTTAAAACAGGAACTAATTTGAACAAATTATAAAAAAAAAAAAAAAAAAAAAAGGTACGAAAACCGAATTATAATTTTAACAAAATAAATAAATGGTCAAAAATATTATGTTGGTAATGTTAGGACACGTGGCAAGAAGGGGTTGGGTTTGAGTAAATGTCCACTTGGATGAGAAGTATGCACCCACGTGGCGAAGGACATGCACAGGGCACATGGGCAAGATAAAGATCGGAAGAAGAAAAAGCACTTTAAACCGTCCTTTGAAGGCTATAAATAGGCGAGACCAGTGGCCATAATACCTCCATGTCTGCGCATCTTCTGATCTTCACGTGCCTCGCCTTCTCTTTTTCTTCTTTTTGGCTGCGGTACATGCATATGCCTTCTGTCTACCTCCTCAGTAGACTTTCTTGATCTCTGAAAATCTTATCCACTCCTCTACCGGCGGTTTATACCTGTCCTTATTCTTGGTACTGCTGCCAGAGTTACTGGTTACTCCCCTTTGACACAAATATACCTATATATATAGTTATCTGTACACACAAACACACAGAGGTCGAGGGTAGGAAGTAAGAGTTAGTTTTGTTCGTTGGTTGACAAAGAAAGCTGATTTTTAAATTGGCTGATTGATCATATACACTTAAGTTGAATATTTGATGGAGAACAAAAAGCACTTGGCTTCTTATTCTTCTTCTTCTTCTTCAGCTTCTGCTTCTCTGGATCAGCTTTTTGGTCCCAGGGATTCCTCTTCATCATCCTCTTCTTCTTCAGGGATTTTTGGATCCATCTTCCCACCACCTTCAACGGTACGCTTTATATCCTAGTTGTTATGTGTGTGTGTGTGTGTGTGATATGTGGGCATGATATAGAAAAGGACTCGGCCTGTGTTACTTTTTTACGTTATCTCAAATTCTTAGCCCTTACATTTCCTCTTTTCTTAATAAGGTGCTGGGAAGAAAGCAGGATTTTCCTAGTCAAGTTGGGAATGCCAGATATAGAACTCCAGGTCTGCCATCTTTTTCCTTTTTTATTCCTCTAATATACATATATCTATATATTTACAATACATATATATATATGTTAGCTGGGTGTTTTGCATGAATCTCCTACTAGAACTTTTTGTGCATGGGTCTTTTTCAGAAGGGAATAAGAAAGGTGAAAGCAGCAAGAGGAGCTCTGTATATCATAATGAAACAGCAGAACCTTGCTATTTTAGCTCATCAATTTACTACGGAGGTCAGGAAAATTATTCTCCAAGAACCACTGCTGATTCTCATCATATTGTAAGTTCTATTCCTGCCAGTTATGACTCTGCTTTTAAGTTTATAAACCACTTGCTAACTATAAGCTAAAATGACCAAACAAACGCCATAATAGCTTTTCTTGGATTGATTGCAGCTTTTGACTTGAAAGATCATTTGACCTTTAAAAGAAAAACCAAACCAAACATCCAGTAATTTGCAGTAAATTACCAAGATGACCAACTGGATTTTTGTCCATTTTGGTTGTTTATTTTTAGTTACAAAATTAATAATTAAGGATCAATGAATCTGATTTCATCAGTACAAGAGAGATGAAGGAGATGATGATGCAAATGGCAGCAATCCAAACAGTGCTTCAAGAGGAAATTGGTGGCAGGGTATGCGGATATTTTTATAAATATTAATAATATGTTTCCAATACTTATAGCTCAAGAATTAAGCCTATGCTTATATTCTCTATTGCAGGTTCGCTTTACTACTAACCGCTTGCCTCCATATAATGCCTACTTAACTATCCATATAGTAAGGTACTTCAGTTTTTAAATCTAAAACCTACTTTGATCATTGTAGAATTTTATGCTAATTAACATGACAAGAAAATATCCCTTTGAGACATTTCGAATTTTATGCTAATTACAATACATATTTTATTTGAAATTTTGATTATTCTATCATATAGGTGACTGAAAATGGCGTTTGTTGACTATGTTGCAGGAAGAGTGACTCTATTGCTATATAAATAAGAGGCGATAGATATATGTATATTTAGTAGAGTATAATACAAGCAGCTAGGACTTGCGCGATCATGTTGGGTTCTTTTGTACGAGCAGCTAGTCAACTTGTACAAAGACCATGTCACTAAACTAAGACTATATGATATTTTTTTGATGACCTCATGGGTATGTCAGGTTTGAACCCTCACCCCCTCTGGGTGGAGAGGTGAGGAGATAACCAAGTCACATAGGTGGGCTGGTTAACTAAGTAACTAAGACTATATAATGTGTATGATGAGTTTATATGTATAACTAAAGCTAGATTCTTGTATTTTCAAGTTGTTTTTTGCAGTGTAGATGTACTATGTTTCTGGGGTTTTAGCTACAAAGCATATTCTATACTCTGGTATTCTCAGTTTTTCTTAGGTAAACACATTTTGCGCTTATGTCTTGTACTTTTTATTCAAAACTGGATCCGGGACAGGCAAAAACGAGGATATAAACAGCACGATGCCTAAATTTATCGAGTTACCATCCATAGGTGCACACAAATATGTAGAGGGGAGTTTTTGATAGAACACAAATCATCGGCAGATAATCATCTTGCGTAACAAATATATAACTAATGTAATTGTCTTCTTGTAAAAACTAGAAGAAAAAGAAGTGACCAAACAAACTTATGCTCATTTTCTAGTCTACAACTAATAATGAAAAGTATATGCATTCTTAATTATTACTTATTACAATATTCACTCGCTTGCAGCATCGGTACTGATTAAAAGTATAGGTCTAAAGCATAGATCTAGATCGTAAACTATCATTTTGAGATTCAAGAGTTTTTCTTTCATGCTTTCAAATCCATTTTGAACGTCTGACAATTTCTCTTTTGATTGCAAAGTTAAAAAGTAGCGATGAACAACAATGTTATTTTTGTTAATGTATATGGCAAGAAGCTTCATACTGCTAGACAGTTACAGACCTTGCTACAACATTGCAGAATCAGCCCACTGATACTGCTGATGATAGCAACCAGAAGCTCCATGGACTCAAGGTAACACGTAAGCTGCACAACAGAAAATCTAAAAAGTTGAGATGCAAAAGACGTTTACAGAAGAAAACCAAATTATAAAAAGAAAAAAATGGATAATGAGAATATACCTCCACACTTGTAACCAGTGGGATGATCAACTAATTTGCAACATTTGGAAATGGTCACTGCGACGTCTGGCTTAATTCCGTAATTCCTAGCTGTATTAGAAAGCATAACAGCATCAAGACAGCTTGGATTTTGGCCAATTTTCTTCACCTGTTAGCAGCAACTGTCTGAAACTGGAGCTCTCTTATCCTGTGCTGCAATTGCACAAGGAGCCAGCTTCCATGCTTCTCTGTCTCGGGAAACCTTACTGCATTCACCAGCTCCACCGACTCCTTTTGACCCAGAAATTCCAAGAATGAGAAAAGCACTAGAAAGCAAACAGACTTCTTGGGAACTTCCATTTTCTTCAATTCAGTGCACAAATATTTCATAAGTTTCACAGTTTATAATCAAACAGACAGCTCAAAAGGTGTCTGCATGTATAGCTAGAAGCCACGGTGGAGGTAGGACTAGAGGGAAAAACCGTTTTTGTTTATTGCATCACCCACTCCTCCAAACATGGAACTTGGGATTACCAGCTATTTTTAACCCAAAGGCAGCTAGTGCTTGCTCAAGTCTTTGCTATCTTTCACAATTTATTTATACTTGAAGAGGCAGAGAAGGATTTTTAAGGAGAAGCTGACAAATCGGTAGTGGACAGAGCCATACTCACGTTCAATTTAACAAGTCACGCAAACCACCTTCTTTCACCAATTGAGTTTTTTTTTTTTTTTTTTTTTTTTGAAGTATCAGATAAATTTTATAGGGGCAAAATAAGAACTAGCTTCAAAGAAATCAAGATTAGTCAATATTGTCCATCCAAACATTGTGTTTTCCTTCATCAGAAAAAACAAATCATGTCTTCAGCTTGACATAAAATGCTCGATTCGAGTCTCTAAGCAAGAAGTTGTTTTCAATTTTCTAAGGTTGTCAGCTAGGAATTGTCAGAAACAGAAAAAAGGAGCAAGAAACCAAGATATTAGAAAGATTCCCTCTTCCTCATTTCAATTCTGATAAGAAAATAGAATTAGATCACGATCCATTCGTCATCCACTTGGACCCAGATCCTTAAGCAATAAAATCTTTACCCACATGCAGATAAAAATCTACCCAACTTAATTCTACCCAACTGAGCTCACCTCCCTTACCTGTATTCTAGTTTAAGTATCAAACCACATTCCCATCCAACACCAAGCACTAAATAAATTTTCTTTTCTATCTTTCCCTTCAAGTCTCAGTTTCCACGCCGCCCAATCAAAGAACAATACCAAAATTAAACCCCAATCACTTCCCAAACAGTGAAATCCATTCATACCAACAGCCCAAATTTGATTCTCAAATCTTATACACACAAACAAACCACTTGCCTTGATCTCTACCCCCCAAAAATATTCCAACACAATTTCTCATACCCACCTAAAGAAATTCATCCTTTCAATGCCAAAACGTTCCAAGGTCCAGCATCATCTTAATCAATGATCTCACTAAATCCCATCAAATATCAAATTAACACGAGTTAAATTCCCAAATTCCTAAGTAGAAAATATTCATTCAAGATCTCACCCATATGAATTGATCATTAGCCATATACTTCTTCATGTTATGAAGAAGAAAACACACATACATACATACAGCCAGATATATATAACAAGCAGAAGACTCTAATCTTACTGTAATCTCGACTTAATCATACAACAAAGTAGAACGTTATCCTGTTAAACCAAAACTTCAGCGAG